TACATACATACATACATACATACATACATACATACATACATACATACACACATACAAACATACATACATACATACATACATACATACATACATACATACATACACGCACACACACACACATACATACACACACACGCACACACACAAGCGTATATATACATATCGGCGAATACTAGGATTCTACAAAGAACATTTATAAACGTTCATTTGTTTGCGAGCTTACCATAGATAAACATCTATTTAATGTCACAGAAAAATGGAAGGGTACTTTAGTGTTGGTTCCCTAAAAGCACCTTTTGAAAGCTTTTTATTAATTTCGAGTCTCAAACACCTGTTCATCTTGTTATTTCGTCGTATTTGTTCGTTCGTTCGCTCCTATTCGATTTATTTCAATGTGTCTAATTTGATGGCCCAATGGAAAGGTTCGTAAATAAAGGAATAAAGGGAGGAAAGAAGAAAGGAAAGATGGAATGAGAGATGGAGTGAGTGAATGAATGAGTGAAGTGAGTGTGAGCGAGTGATGGATTAATTGAATAAATGAATGAATAGAAAAACGAGACGAACTAAAGAAAGTAAAAACAAACGAACGAGCAGAGGAATGATTAATCATTTCGGTGATCAAATGAGTGATTTGTTTGTGATTGATTGAATGATTGATTGATCGGTTGATCCGTTGATTGAATGATTGAATAAGTTAGTAAATGAAAGAATTAGTGAATAAGTGAGCAAACGAATAAATGAATGAACGAACGAACGAGCGAATGAATGAATGAACGAATGAATACGTTATAGAGAAGCAAGTTTGTTTTTAAAATTGTTGAGAATTATTTATTTTTCGTTTTCTTCTCGTCATTCAAAAAATAGTATCGACAGAATTATAAACTAATTTCAATCGCGAATTCTAACTTTGGCTGATTGATGGATGGAGAGATAGAAAGACCATAGGATGGGCAAACGAACGCAGCAAAGATTAAATAAAAGATTAGATAACAATAATCGTAATGATCAAATAGTTTTTTTTCAAACCAACCAACCAACCAGCCAACCAACCAGCCAACCAACCAGCCAACCAACCAACCAACCAGCCAACCAACCAACCAACCAGCCAACCAACCAACCAACCAACCAGCCAACCAACCAACCAACCAGCCAGCCAGCCAACCAACCAACCAACCAACCAATCAGCCAACTAACCGTTTTTATTCATACCGACTTGCAGGCACCTCTTGAGTCGACAAGCCCGGCACTGATTTCGCCGAGTCTTATCGACAGCACATCCCTCTTTCACTTTCGATTTGCACCGGTATTTACGCTGTCGTCGAATGGATCGCTGTGTGTGTGCGTGTGTGTATATATGTGTGTGTGTGTGTGTGTTAGTATTCATGTCTGTTTGCATACATCAATTTTTAATTTGATCAAACGCAAAACAACTTCCGATTAAACGACCACAAACTCACTTTGAAAAAACCGGCGCACCTGGGTAATAATTTTAAGAACAATCATGAATATTAATATATCATAATAACTATAATATATGCAAAATTATGCAAATTTATGCTAAACATACCCACCCGTCACAAGCAAATATTCCGTAGTGCTTGCCAGAGGAATGGTCCATACAGACCTGGCAAGGGGTGTCCAACAAAATGCGACTGTCTGCAATGTCATCATAATTAACATAATTATAATAATAATTATAATAATAATTATAATAATAATTATAATAATAATTATTATTATCATCTTAGACACAATGAACGCGTACATCTTAATACATTCAGCACCAGCCAATCAGATCACTCGATCCATTCGTTCGTTTATTCATCAGCACATCTGTATATCAGTGGGATCATTTTGATGGATGAATGGATGGATAAAGGAGGGAATGAAAAAAATGACTGAATAAATGGATAGATGAATGATGAAAAATATGTAGGTTAACGAATCAAAGATTGAATAAACGAATGAATAGATAAAAAAATGAAAAAAGGAATGAATGGATAAAGGGATGAACAATTAAATAAATGGGTGAATGAATGGTGAAAAATGGATGGATATAAAAATGGATGTGAAATAAATTAAATAACTGCTCTTCGAAATCCGCCAAAATCTACATGGATTATTAAAACTAATACATTGTAACCCCTATACAAACATCATTAAAGCGAAATTAATAATAGACACATACACGCACACATATACACGCACATACACACGTACATACACACACACACAAACGAGTATACACACTTGCATACATCTATTGTTATAAAATAAAATATTCTCATGACTAAGTTGATGGCAACATTTAAAATTTCGCCGTGTTCTTTAGTGTGTTTAGTCAGTGAAAATCAATAAAAATATCGAAATGAATTGTTTGTATGTGTGTGTGTGTGTGTGTGTGTGTGTGTTTGTATGTATGTATATGTGTGTGTGTGCGTGTGTATGGGTGCGAATTTGTTTGAACGTGTCCTTGTTCATGAATGTGAATGTTTAAGGTGTGTTTGTGTATGTGTGTGTACAAGGTATGTGTTTGGGAAAATTTGTTGGTGTATTTATTGTGTATTCGAGTATACAGCCAAGATTAACAATTGTAATTGAAATGTACGTGTGTATGTGTTTCGCGTGTGTGAATTGTGTATGTGTGTGTGTGAATGTGTGTGTGAATGTGTGTGTGTGTGTGTGCGTGTGTGTGTGTGTGTGTGTGTGTACTGCTTAGAAGTATGTAGAATGTTGACGACGACGACAATGAGCGATAGAGCGTCCTGACGTGGCTATTCAACTTCTGACTGCGTTTTCTCACATAAATATTCTCGCAACTTCAATTCAACTAACAACACAAGCACGAAAACACACACTTATACACACATACACACGCGTACATTCAGACATACATACACAAACACACACACATACATACACACACACACAAACACACATACATACATACAAACACACACACGCACACACTGCAATTTTTAAATGGCTTCATTTAATTTTTCAATAGTTGCATATAAATTTTGCTTGTGTTTTGTATCTTTATTGGATACAACAAAGATGCAAACATTATAAACAAACATTATAATGACGATAATGTGATATATGAATCGTAACCGCCGATAAAAATAATGAAGATGGTGATTGGCTGGAAGATAATGACGTCACGCTCAGAACCTCAAGTTGTTGAATGTTTATGTCTGTACCGTAATTTTACTTCACCGTACCTAGCTAACTTATCATCAGATATCAATTAAATAAAGTTAATAACCATTCAACTAACCAGCCAATAAACAATCAATCAATCACCAATGGATGAATGAATGAATGGATGGATGGATGCATGAATGAATGAATGAATGAATCAATCAATCAATCAACCAATCAAAATTGGTATAGGAAATTCTATTTAGCCACAAAAATTTCATGACGAATAAATAGCACAGGGCTGAGCTCACACCCACTTAGAACAAAATTTTATTATTTCTTTTATTATATAATAATAATAATTATTATTATAATATCATTAGTAATACTTGTAATTATACCGATATTTATTTAGTTAATCAGCCCGGACTAAAAGTTTTTCACTAACTTTTCTCCGTGGAAGACATATTAAATAATTCCTGCTCGAGTTATTCTGGACCACCGGAAAGTTATTTTAATTATTATTATTATTTATTATTTCAATTATTACTATTATTTGTTATTATTATTGCTATTATTATAACCAGCAGTTCAGCCCTTTACCAAAAATCATTGCCGGCTAAAATCTTATAAATGAACGATTTCTATAACTCACTATCGCGTTATGCACTCATTTCTTTATATATAGCTACTTATATATATATACCTCTATATACCTATATACCTATATACATATATATTTATATATATATACATATATTGATTTATATATATATATTTTTTTATAAGTATAATTGATTTCATTTGCCATTTATTATCTTTATACGCGTGTGTGTTTCCATGTAAAGCTCTAAACCGTAATTGAACTATTTTTAGTAGTAGTTGTGGTAGTAGTAGTAGTAGTGGTGGTGGTAGTAATAGTAGTAGTAGCAGCAGTGGTGGTCACAGTAGTAGTAGTTGTAGTAGTGGTAGTAGTGGTAGTAGTAGTAGTAGCAGCAGCAGCAGTAGTAGTAGTAGTAGTAGTAGTTATTATTTAAACTGACATGGAATTGATATTATTGTATATATTTGTGCAGTTGTTGATTGACATAAGTTAACTTGCTTTCATATAAATGATGGTTGCGATATAGACCTTATTATTCTCGATATATATATATATATATATATAAACATACATATATAATTATTAATATATATATATATATATAATCATTATACAAATAATAAATATAGTCATAATTTTAAGAACTTGTCAAATAGAACCTCGTCTGACCAATCAGGTCTAAGCTTGGTTGTTTTATAATTCAACTCTCTCGACCAGGCAGAATTATTGTAGAAGTATTTCGTCCAATCAAAATTGGCGGAGTGTGATGATTGACGTGCCATATTTTTGAACCTCGCCCAGTAAAAAATTAGTCGTTACTATATAATAGCTCTGCTACATTTATAATGAAATGCATATGTAACCAGATTTGTATGCTAAGGTGCGAGATGTATCATTTGCCACGAAATTACCTCAAAACATCATTAGTTTCAATTGAGGCAATGAAGTGAGGAGAATTTGACGTACATTTTGATCAACTTGCAACACAATCAGAGCATTATTTACTACAAAACTATCTGAACAAGTGATTGAAAATGCTTTTTAAGCTATTTTTGTCAATGATTCATTCATTTTGAAAGTAATTTCATTTAAATCAATCTTTCGTGCCTATTTAACTGCTGTCAAATTACAAAAAAAAATGAAAAATTATGAGTTTAATCTCTTGAAATCATTTACCTATAGTTCAAACTCTGATCTAAATTAAACATTGCACACATTTCGCTGACACCATACTAATAAAATTAGTACTGTTATAAGTTTACTATTATCTTCTTTAATGTCTTCGATTTTGCATTTTATTCATATTTGTGTGCATAATGTAAAGTATATACTACTAGTAATTTTAGTTGTTTTTATATTAAATCAATTATTAATGCAATTTAAGAGGTTTTGATATATGTATTATAAATATTATTTTTTTAAAATAAGTAATAACGCGCTACACAATTATTTGTTTTATGTTTACTTTGAAAAGTGAACGAAAGTATAATCGAACTTTCAAATTTTATTTTCATTTCAGTCGAGAACGATTAGTGTTGTTTAATTTATGATTAAATTTATTTTGCGTCATTGTCGCTTTTTATATTTTTTATTTGAAAATTTGTAACTTAATTCTGTTTTTCACCCGAAATTTTATTTCATGTTTACTTTTGGTGAAAACTGTGAGGAAATCAGCAAATCACTGACTCAAAAAAACACTAACTAACTGAACCAAACTAATGCTAATCGAACGCTGAAATCTCGTTTAATTAATATAGAATCTATAAGTTTGTATCTGCATAAAATAGATCATCATAAGATTTGCTTCATGGTTCATAACAGTCCCTAACCTAACTAAATCTGGCGAAGCATCTAACCAACATCAACCTACCCTACGAATCATGGACCAGCTATGCACATACTGTCAGAAGGCAATCCATCTAAAGCAGCCGAGAGTTCAATGCTACGACTGTCCGTCATCTCGATCTGTGGTTCTTTGCTTAGAGGTTACTATATAGTTGAGTATACATTGTATACAAGAGTAGAAATATAATATGATAATTGTTGTGTGTCACTATTGAAGTATTGACTAAATAAAAATGTGTGTGTTGCTGAATAAATAAATGGGTCATTTTTAAAAAGAAGATAGAATATTTATCTGTTTTTAACTAATTTAAAAAAAAATTTCTTCAAGTGTTTTTCGTGTGGAGTTGAAGCCGGCAACCACAGGTCCAGCCACGATTATCAAATTTATGTGGGTCCTTATAATTATTTCATAATTACGACTGGTATTAAAATTATAAATAAACAAATATATTATAACAAATAATTTAAAAAGGAATTAATAATAATTTTTCTCTCTCTGTCCCTAGACTGAAAGTTCTCTTCAAATATTTCCAAGTCGATTTAACTGGACCCAGCATGAGATTGAAAACTTATTGGAGGCAGTTGAAACACTGAGCTTCGGAAAATGGTAGAAGTTGATCAATCAATCAACCAACCAATCAATCCATCATTCAATCCATTTATTCATCCATCAATTTATTGATAAGTCATTTAATCAATTTTTTTATCCATCCATTAATCATTCATTCTCCCAATCAGTCAATTAATCAATCAATTAACCCATTTATCACTTCATCCATTGCATTCTATTTATATTTTATAGTGTATTTCTATATATCCATATTAACAATTATAGTAGTAGAAGTAGTAGTAGTAGTAGTTGTAGTAGTAGTAGTTGCAGCAGTAGTAATAGTAGTAATAAAAATAGTAATAATGTGTTTGATTAATA